TAACGCGAAGGCTGGACTCGAACCGCTGAAGCGGCGACCATTTCTGGCCAGCAACTTTCAGCGTCATTAAACCGCTGCGCCACTGCGTCCCCCTTCCCTCCATTTAGCAAGCCACTACTGGCTCCTCTTCAACCAGAGACAGGAAAAGACTCATCAGGGAAACTGTGAAAATTACCTTTCCAGTTCACACAACATTAAGCTTCATAAGGACACAGCAGCTGTCTGTCTACAATTCTTAAAACTTTTAATTCTTGTTGACTCCTGTGCAACTTGGATACACTAGCTTTGTGTGTTCCACAGTTTTTAACTGCAGAGATGGAATTTGCTGATTTGCATTTGGCTGGCAGTTGTGCAGAGCAAGGGGCCTCACTGGCAGTGGGTCAGTTCTGTACTGGGGTGTGAGAGGCATAATCTTATACAACAACCTGTCATTCATGGTGGATGGCCAGTTAGCCATTAATCTGTTGACATCCCTCAACCAGGATAGAACACCACTCACTGCTCAAGAGTTTGAATGTGTATTTGGAGCAGATCTGTTTCAAGAAATACGCAGTTCCCTTTATGCTCAGCTTTTCTTTTCCCTCCTTTCCTCTTGTCTTAATCTCCCACCAGAAACAACCCTTGAAGATGAATGGAATTTGCTGTACGTCGCTGTCACTCGGGCCAAGCGGCGTCTCATCATGCCCAGACTTCTAGCTGATCTCCTAAAATATGCCAGGGTGAGTTAAAGCCATTTAGAGTAGCTATTTATTGAAAGCATTACACTGAGAGCTACAGTTTCTCAGGACAGAGATGTCAGTTCTGTCAACAATCAACAGAAGTCACCTAAAAGCTGGAAAACTCCTGGTGAAATATCCATTAAAGTGGGGGGGGGGCTGGAGAGCAGAAAAAAGAAACACTGTAAATTGCTACAGGTACAAGAAAGATCTTCCTTTCATGTTGACAGAGGGCAGTCAACTGTCGAAGCTCAATTTGTAAATGGGATGCAGAAGGACTCTAATCCAAGTTGTAGACATTGTAGGAGAAGAGCCATGTTTGTCAATGATAGCAATTGATTCCTGGTCAAATTAGAGTTTCAATTAGAGCAGCATTAGCAAATATGCCAGATATCTTCTTTTCTAGTGTTTAGGATAGATTTCCATCGGTGTACCTTGACATAATTCTTGGTCAGTCTTGTGTCTTCTCTACCCTTGTCCATTCTGGTTAAGGCTCCAACGTATATCTGGAGGGCATCGGGTTGAAGGACTGTTCTAACATTCCATTTGTCACATTTCAAGTGCTCAGGGGCCCCTTGGTTTCCTAGCTGGCTTTGGCTAAATGCTGCTTTTGTTTCTTCCCAAGGAGTACTATGTGCGGTTTGAATTAACCAGTGAAGTGTGCAAGGAGACTTCACCAGTTTGGTGTTCAGAGGTGGGCTGCTGCAACTCCATTCCAGCTGACTCTTTCCTAATCCCGAAAAAGATGAACTTTGTTTATGTACGTATCCCTTTTTTCATAACTAGGAGCTCAAGCTTGATGCAGCTCAGGCAGTTTTTCTCGCCTTCTCATCTCCCTTTCATGCATGGTTGTTCTGGGATAAAATGTTGGGTGGAACTTCTGGAGTGGAGCAGTTCTTGCACCATAGGCCTTAATTGCGTTGTTTGAGATGTATACTTTGGTCCACAAGTCTGTCTTACTATAGCTATTGCTTGGGTTAAGAATGTAGAACTAGCCCTCCTGGTCAAAGTCCACATTAGCCCAGCGTTTGGTCTCTCAAAGTGCCTCTGTGATGCCCCTGGGATGCTCACAAGCAGAAGGGGAGATACATTCACTGCCGTGGAAAATCTTTATGGAGAGAAGTTCTAATACCAGCACCAGTAAAGGCACCGGCACCAGATGCCCTCATGCAGAGGAGCCCAAGATGGCCTTGAAGAAGATATATGGCAACTGTTTGAGCTTAGCCTGGGAAAACAGGAAAGCATGAGGAAGAAGCTCAAGATTGTCCTGTCTTGACACTCTTTGGTCCAAAAAGGAGGACAGGAGAAATGCTTTGAGTTTCTTTCTCAAACTTCCTTATTTTCCTGTTTTTTCAAGTTAAGCTTGTGTTTTACTAACAGTTGTTCCATAATTTCTTCAAGTCCATCTCTGTGCTCCTCTGTGCTGCATATGATGAACTTTATGGGCAGCTGCTCTTTCCAGAGAGGGGTACTGAGTCACCCTGGAGAGCTGACCAAGTGTTTTTTCTTACTGTTCTTTCCTGATCCTTCTGGTCATCGCAGGAAGGGGAGATGACCAGTATCTCGACTACTATGCATCTGTAGGCCAATCCTTGCATCTGATCCTTTGCATTCTTCTTGAAGGGGAGCATGGATGCAAAGGATTTTGATTGCAAGGGATCCCAATCTGGGTGACTGCCCAAGAGCATTACCAGAGCAGGATGATCTTGTTCAGAGCATGTCCCATGGATGCTCATGGGTAGAGAACATCTCAATCTTGCTAACTTCACTGCTTTTCTCAACTTTTTTCTGGCAGACGGACAGCACCAAAACCACCAAGGGTTTCCTTTGCCCTTCTTGTGCAGTGCAATTCCTTGGCCCCATTGCACAGCTCACAATGTCTCCTGAGATGGTGCAGGACACCGATTCCCCCCAAGAATTCACTGAGGTTCCAACAGTGGTTCGCCTCCTCCTCGAAGGTCTTTGAGTTCAAGAAAATTGCACTGGGTATTTTTCAAGAAAACGAATGCAGAGAAAATAATGTAGAAAGGAAGGTGTCCTTCTTGATGTGGGAGTGCTGTTCTTTAGAGGAGTTCTTGATGTGGTGCCAGGAGAGTCCACCCAAAGGAACAATGTGCCGAAAAGGCTGGCCACCTCCACACAGTTGTATTACTATGTTTCCCTCCTATCCTGGAGCCAGCATAAAATCATGCCACCCTCAGTCTTAATGACCATACAGTACACTGTTATCACACACCTGGGTATGTGTGTGCTACTTTCCTTACAGCTTGAACGTTTCTAACTGAAATTCCTAACCTGCCCAACATCTCCCACCATATTAAAAGTCTCCTCCAATTGCCATGCACCAAACTCAGGTTATTCCTGCACTACTATTTTTTCTTTCCCACTGTACTTTTAACTGATTGAAACTTAAAAAAAAAAAATCTTGAAATTGTGAGTCCATCCATTCAATCACTAGATGGCAGCAAAGATTTAGAGCCCCCCCCCAGCTGCCATCTAGTGCTGGTTCAGTGCTGTGCAGCTGAATTGCTGCTGTTGGATAAGTGCTGTTGGAAGAGGTACAATTTGAGAGAGAGATTTACTAGCGTGGGAGTTGTAAACTAAGAGCATTATGTGAAGTGAGGAGCCAGGGCTCCTGGGAATGGAAGTCCCTGCTAGATGTGCTAGGGAGGTACAAGAGACAAGTCCTTTCAATTATATATTCCATTTACTGTGTTAAATCAGAGGCAGGCTAAGTCCATTTCAGGGCTTCCCACTCTCTAGGTCAGGGCTTTTCAGCCTTGACAACTGTAAGACGTGTGGACTTCAACTCCCAGAATTCCCCAGCCAGCCATGCTGGCTGGAGAATTCTGGGAATTGAAGTCCACACGTCTTAAAGTTGCCAAGGTTGAGAAACACTGGTCTAGGTTGATGACTCAGCTGGTTGACCTACCACTTAACAAAGAAAAGAAAAGTTGGGGTGCTGGTCTCCTTCACTGCCAAAAGAGGATTGCAGGTCTGGAAGACATCCTGTTAAGGATAGAGTGGAAGTGGAGCCACAGATGCTGACAGTTTAGGCCGCCTTCCCCATGTGCATCCACGTGCCCTATGTTGTCCACATTCAGCATCTGGAGATGAGATAGGAGGGAAAACACCACTTCCAGAACACAACATCAAAAGCTGCCATAGGGCTGTCTCAGCTGCACCGGGATGTTGAGATACAGCGGCACAGAGACATCTCTGGAAGTGGTTAGTGGGCTATTTGCACAGGATAAGACTGTGAATTTTTTTTTATAATTTTTAATTTTTAATTAAGAGGAAAAGAAAAGCATAATAATAATAATAATAATACACTATCAAGAAGAAGAAAAAAACATTAAAAAGTGCTGTTACAAAGAAGTGACAAAAATACAACAAAGGAAATAAAAATGGTGTAGTGTATCGTAACAAACAATTACAAATATATATATATCTTTAATGCAAATATTCAGATGCATATATATTTTTAATACATTTGTATGACTATCATATTTTTTTAACTACTGTAGGAAAGGTAAGACTGTGAATTTGACCTTTGCAGTACATTTAGTCAATAAGGCCTCTTTGCAGACGGGTGGAAATGCATTTGGGTCCTTCGGGCTGGTTTATCACCCATTGCTTTTCTGTTCTGTGTCCTGAGAGAAGAATATGAAGGATAAAAATGTTTATTTCTTGGTTTCTTGTGCTCTTCCATTGTGGGAGAGGCTCTTTTAATGCGGGTGCTCTTAAAAATCAGACAGTATGCTTTTTATATCTTACGAAGTTTTTATAGATTGAAGCCACTTGAACAGCCTTGTGCTAACGCCAGTACCTTGTGGCTACATTTTTATAAAGTGAGATTTTAACTGTTTTTGCAATGAGGAAAGGATAAAGATAAGATGATTCTTCCCAATTATTGTGCCTAAGAGCGGGGAGAAAACTCTCCATCCCTTTCCAATACCTCTTTACCGCTTTCTCTCTCATTCTTCAGGCAGAAAGTGATGTTTGCAGTAATGTATTTTTTAGTATTTTTTTTTTAATTGTTCTGGCTAAATTGTGAGGTATACCTTGCGATCGAATGCTTGCTTATAACGTTGTCAAAGAATCTGTACCTCAAAAAATAAACTGGTAATGGACGCAAGTCACACTGGTGTGCCCATTTCCCTCTTCATGAAGTCAGAATCCGCTCTGGGTGATCCTGTTAGGGCATGTGGCTGGGGATGATGGGAGTTGTAGCTGAATCCGTTGGCCAGGCAGTATCTTGGGGAAGATTATCTTGATATAACTAACCAATAAAAATATTTACAGGCCTTCTGGAACCAGCTGGTCTCTTCCGTAGGACAGATTTGTTACTTGTCATCTTGGGAACCTTTAAATAAAAATACTTAGGTTCAAGGACTTTTATTTGACTAGATCAGGCCCAACATTAATTTCACCCTGTAGGAACTGACCAGACGCAAACCGACCAATTGCCCATGGTGGTTTTCTGTTCTAGGTCAAAGATTTTTCACGTAGTTGTATCCTCGCTAACGAAGGACTGCCTAGAAAGAAAACTTGGGTTTCATGTCATGCTAGACATAGGTTAAAGTAGAAGGGGGTAGCTCAATTTTGGCATGTTGTGTGAACCAGCCCAACATGTGATATGGTTTATTTGGGGAGGGGGCAGAAAATGTGCCAATGTAGCCATTGTGGTAGGTAGCATGTAAAGATTATATGAATGCAGCAGGTGTTACTGCGGAAAGAAACCATCTGTGTCAGGAATGGAAAAATACTTTAAGATGGGTGCACTTCAGCTCCCAGAATTCCCTAGCCAGCATGCTGGCTAGGGAATTCTGGGAGCTGAAGTCCACCCATCTTAAAATGGGTGTTCATTGTTGAGAAACACTGATAAAATCCATCCAAAATCCTCTCTCAAAGGATTCTGTTGGGTATGAAAAAGTTGGCAAAAGTAATCAGAAAAGATGGAAAGTTTGCAAATGGAAGATGGTGTCATTTGGGCCCCTGTAAAGTCCCATGTCTGAGGTGGTTTGCTGGGGGTCAAGATGGCAGCTGCGCCAAGTGATTGAAGCCCTGCCCCTTTCTACAGTGGGGCAAAAAAGTATTTAGTCAGCCACCAATTGTGCACGTTCTCCCACTTAAAAAGATGAGAGCGGCCTGTAATTTTCATCATAGGTATACCTCAACTATGAGAGACAAAATGGGGGAAAAAATCCAGAAAATCACATAGGTCTGTGAGAGCCAGACATCTTGCTTGTTTGTAGGTGACCAAATACTTATTTTCCACCATGATTTGCAAATAAATTCTTTAAAAATCAGACAATGTGATTTTCTGGATTTTTCCCCCCATTTTGTCTCTCATAGTTGAGGTATACCTATGATGAAAATTACAGGCCTCTCTCATCTTTTTAAGAGGTCTGTGAGAGCCAGACATCTTGCTTGTTTGTAGGTGACCAAATACTTATTTTCCACCATGATTTGCAAATAAATTCTTTAAAAATCAGACAATGTGATTTTCTGGATTTTTCCCCCCATTTTGTCTCTCATAGTTGAGGTATACCTATGATGAAAATTACAGGCCTCTCTCATCTTTTTAAGAGGTCTGTGAGAGCCAGACATCTTGCTTGTTTGTAGGTGACCAAATACTTATTTTCCACCATGATTTGCAAATAAATTCTTTAAAAATCAGACAATGTGATTTTCTGGATTTTTCCCCCCATTTTGTCTCTCATAGTTGAGGTATACCTATGATGAAAATTACAGGCCTCTCTCATCTTTTTAAGAGGTCTGTGAGAGCCAGACATCTTGCTTGTTTGTAGGTGACCAAATACTTATTTTCCACCATGATTTGCAAATAAATTCTTTAAAAATCAGACAATGTGATTTTCTGGATTTTTCCCCCCATTTTGTCTCTCATAGTTGAGGTATACCTATGATGAAAATTACAGGCCTCTCTCATCTTTTTAAGTTTTTCCCCCCATTTTGTCTCTCATAGTTGAGGTATACCTATGATGAAAATTACAGGCCTCTCTCATCTTTTTAAGTGGGAGAACTTGCACAATTGGTGGCTGACTAAATACTTCTTTGCCCCACTGTATGTGGTCTCGTAGCCAAACGCTCACCAGTCTCCTTCCACATCGGTCAAAGGGGTAGATACTGGAGGACGGCCTGAAGAAAACGGATGCTAAAATGATGTTGCCAAGCAAAAGCCTTTCCGTACTTGAGCTGCGTTGGAAGCAAGTACGTAAGTCACTGTATCTGTGTGATGATGCCAAGCACACTTTGTCACTTGCCTCCCCTTGTGCCAGCTCTGTCCCCCACCCCCTGGTGTGGAGGGCTTGCCGTCCATCTTCCATAAAGGGCCTGACGTGTGAGAAAAACCAGAAACATGTTGCTTACTAAAAGACTAACTTAGCATTAATCCACAAAGACACGTTTGCAGTCTAAAACAGGCATCGTTGTTCTAGCTGAACTGTAAGCCCTGGGTTTTTCAAAAACCACATTTGGCTTAAAAATGCTGCTGAGACTCTTATGGGTGAAGAAATCAAACCGTAAGATACTTCACTTTTTGGAAGGAATTCTTCCTTTCCTCCCCCTGCAAATGTAAATTACATAATTCAGTATACGTACATACACAATTGTACATTTTCTTACTCATCTGGGGTGAAGTGAAAGCAGCTCTGGGTGACAACACAACATGATGGCTGTATTAGTTGGGAAATTAGTTGGGGGAATAAATGATCGCATAGGTGTGTCTCCGCCTCCCCCCCAAAATGCAACCAGTGCTTATGCTGGCAACTTTTCCCATGGGGATTATTTGCTGCAAATTTGAGAGCCTATGTCAGGCAGAAAAAAGTGTGTCCCCTTACTATAATCCTTAGAATCTGAGATGATTCTCCCATTTTAAAGAAAAATCATTAGGATAAAAACCAAGTTTTGTGGATGGATGGATGATAGTGTGGGGGTTCTTTGCTTTCCAAGGTCTGGACACACCCCAGTGTAGCCAATCTGTACACAACACTTTATTGCAGCACACGCCTTCCCCACAACAGACTCTTGCTGTTCACCCATCTAGGGCTTGCAGGGCGATGTTGCCACGTAAATACGTCTTTAATGCTCAGTCCTTTAATGCAGGGTTCCTCAACCTTGGCAACTTTAAGACGGGCGGACTTCAACTT